AGCATGCTTCAACTATGTTATCACCTTCTCTTTGACAATGGCTCAGTATTTAAAATTAATGAAAGGGCTGTTATAGATCTTGAATTAGATGGATGTTTCGTGGAACTTTTGGAGAGGCACAACGTTGCCGTTTAAGATAAAGAATCAACTGGGCCTTGGAAGCAAGATGCCAACAGCTTGGCAATCAAGGGGGAGCCAACTTGATGCTTGAGTTTGGAGGGGTTTGATGGGAGAGAGGTCTCTCCATTTTTTCTCCTCCATTTTCCTCCACTTCTTCCATCTCTACCATTCAAATTATTTTATTAAATAATTTTTGTAAATGATAAAATTAATGAATGATGGGGATGGGGGGGAAGTAGAGGAAAATGAAGAAAAAAAAGTGGAGAGACTTCTCTCTTAGGGTTTGATGAACTTTTTTTCTCATTTTTGTGTCGGTCATGGAAAATATGAGAAAATGACTTCTTTCCACTATCACTCGCTATTGGCTACAATTTTTTTATGTTTAAACTGAGGACATTTTGGTCATTTAACCAAGCAATTTAATTTCATTTAAGTCCTCTTGGCCTTAAGTGAAATTTCAAATTTGATGGGTCCTCATTTATTATAATGTCACATCCTTGGTCTTGTATTGAAATTGTTCCCTTAAATTATCTACGGAAGCATTCATTTCTTTCCCTTTTTTTTCCTTTTTTTTTTGAAAAATACAAAATTTGTGGAAATAAAAACTAAAGCTCCAAAGTTGGAATGGACCCAGCTTACATAATATTGATTTTGCCAAGAATATGGTCCCGGGAGACAGATCAAATCAAGAATGTAATTGGTCATTAATAGCAAAGTATATATAATTATTCGCATGGCCTACAATAAAAGATGTCTCTGCCCTGATTTTTCATCATCATCATAATCATCTCTTGGATCATACAATCATACTTGTGCTTATCATTATCCCATACTCCTCTCTCACAACAAATGTATATTGAAAATGAAACTGATTATTAAACTAATTAAGGCATGAGTTTAAAAGTTAATGATTAAAATTATAGTAAAATCAAACCGATCATGAAAAAAAATCTTTTGAATTATCGGTTCAACAGTTTACTAATTTAACCATCTAGGTTGACACAGATCTTAATATATGCTAGCATGCTTTGGAATCAAATTTCACTTCTTTTATTGAATCACCTGCCCACATCCTTTTCCTTTTTACTTTGTTTTTTTCCCCCAAAAACACTCATCCCCACACTACTCTGTTTGTTCTGTTATTTTCGTTGTGAATATTTATTTTCGTTTTTCTGATTCAATCGTCGCAGCGTGACAACCAATTCTTAATTATGATGCGCCGTAGGGATACAAATATCTTTGTTAAATTTTTAGCAAATATATATTTGATAGATTGGATAACTTGTAATGATTCAGTCATACTACGTACGGAGGAAAATTCAACAGTAAGAATATTGTATCTGACTTTAATTTACTTCTCTTTACAACAATCATTTGTTTTTAATTTTTCTTTCTTGAATAAAAACAAAGTTGTAAAAAAATAATTTTAGAATAGCAATGACTTTAAAACGATAAAAACCATAAAATTAAAATTTGTTACAAACTTTTGGGTTAAAAGATTTAAAGTTTTTTTTTTTTTTTTGTGTTTTAAAAGTTTTCATGAGTTGGATACCTAGTGCACTAGAATTAGGGTAGGCCTCAATGTTTAAAAATATTTATGGAGATATTTTTTTTTCTTTTTGCTTTTTAAGATATTCCGACAGCAGGCAATGAAGGATTAATATTTTGATGGTTAGGATTGAGAATATCTTAAGAAGTTAAATATATATATATATATATATATATATATATATGAGGGTCACAAGCTTATATATAGACCATCCAGGGCAAAAGAAAAACAGTGGACTTACACGTGTAAAATTCCCGATTTCGCAAGCCCATTTAATGTTTATTTAAATTATAATTGACTCGTTTCACCCCCATACGATGAATCTGAAAGGGTCACATACTAATTAACATCAACGCTATAAAAAAAGTTAAAAATACATATTAACTTTTTGTATACAAAACAAATATTAACCTTTCTTTTAACACATACAATACTTTAATTCAAATGTATGAAAAAAATTAATCGTTTAAAAGGCTGTCATTAGTTATTACCGCTTTCCTTGCCCAATAGAGGTTGAAGTACAGCATCAGTGGAATGAAAATAAAAAAAAAAAAAATGCAGTAACTACATTTTTCTTTTCTTTTCTTTTCTTTTCTTTTTTTTTTTTCAATTCTCCATCCTTCATAGCCACATTGCAATTACCATAAATTGATTTTCAAAAAAACTGAGTGCAAGAAATGTTTCCGAGGTTGTTCCAATTAGAAATTGCCTATAGAACTCAATTGCTTTTCTAATAACTCTGCCATATTTCATGTGTACGGATAGGCCAGGACCAAAAAATCCCGAGAGAAGTTTGACCGAGTTTGACCCTCGTCAAACGTGTTCCTAAGCCTTTGACTTAAGAATGTGTTGCAACTGTGACCTTTGGCTTCTCAATTTTGCGTCTAAAGGCACAGCCTTCAAGTTACTTTTTGGGACCCCTCTTGGCCATTCTATGCAACCTTTCATGCCACGAGTTATGTGTGGATTCATGGCCTCTGATTCCCAGTGCCTGAACCTGCCTTCATCTCTTGAGCCTTCCATTGAAGACGAAACCCCTGCAAATACAGTACTGGTTGTTCCATTAGTCAAGCAAGGCCTTAGTTTAGAGCTAGAACAAGCTTTCCTCTTTAACACCTCTGTAACTAGTGTCTCAGGAGAGTCATCCTCTTGGTTGACTCTGACAACTTCTAAACCAGCATTGTAGTCAGTGGATGAGTTTGACCTGTGTATGGTTGAATGGTTGTTCAAGCCATCTTCGCACGGTTTTATCACTTTCTCATAATCTCTGTTGTTATTTCTGAGCTCCTCATAAATGGAAGAGATATCATCAAATTTTAAGAAATCACATGAAAGTTCCACAATGCCTTGGTTTTTGTCTTCTGATCTTAGGGAATTCTGGAGAAAAGCAAAGAACTGTATCATCTGATTGTATTTTTCTTCAAGCGCGAGTTTTGCATCAAGCAACTTCATGTGAACCCGTTCTTCGCGCAAATGCTCGGATATCTGCATCATCTTCCTTTCTTCTTCCACTTCCTTGAGAATTTTCATGGATTCAATCTCCAGCTCCTCAAGCCTACACTTGTCTTCCCCTACCTGCTTGGCTAATTCATTGCACACTTCCTCCATTAACTCTCGACCTCGTTTTTCTTCCTCATAGTTCTTCATGAAGTGCTTAGCCGATTGGTTGGCTTCAGCCAACTTGTGTAACAACTTGGCATTCATCAACTCCATCCTCTCTCTGCTTCTCCTTTCCCTTCCCAGTTTATCCTTTACCTCATCCAACATTGACTGAAACTTTTTGAGTTCTCTTTGCTTCCAAAAGATCATTTCTTCTTCAAACTTGTGAACAAATTGTTGTGCCTTTTTCTTAGAAGACCTCTTTGCAGCTTTTAGCTTATTTATGCACCTTTGAGCCCGAAGAAGTTCTGCTAGAAGAGCAGAGACAATTGAATCACCTACTAAATTTCTCTCTTCATTGTGTTTAACATCATGAATCTGAGGGAACTGGTTGGATGTTTCAGGAAGATCAGTATCCCATTTTGTTGCCTCTTCCTTGCAACACTTAAGACACTGCAGAGAAGATTCAATCTGAGAACAAAACCCACATTAGGAATTAGTATCTCAATGTTGTTGTCGTCAGTGGGAAGAAATACAAGGTTTCTGTTTCTTCTCTTTCATGAATGTTATTGGATCAATAGTTCAGATGTATCAATTTCCACTCATAAGTCCATTAACAAACAGTTGAAAAAGACAGACCTTAAACCCTTATCATCAATCTAGGATAGATTTATAGAACTAATAGCCTGACTGATCACTAAAGTGGCTCCCCCTATACATTGTTTAAAGTTCAAGCAATTATTAGCATGTAAACTGTACCTCATTTTGAGTTCCATTTCTTGAATGCAAGACAGTATGCAGCCTCGATGGGTGATCTTTCACCTTCTCAAATCCATCTCTGGTTTTGTGATGAGTGGGAGGGTAGATCCTTAAATCCTCATTAGCTAGCTAGAGGAAAGAACGTGTGGAGGATCTTAATATGACATAATGACAAAAACTATAACCACAAGAAACTGAAAACAACAGACATTAACTAAAAGAAGTGTGTTATTTTGGTTTTTGTTTTTGTTTTTTTAACTGTGTACAGGCTTCTCTCATTGGAGGCAACCCTATTCAAGTCACAATTAGGTACTAAATGTGGGCAACTTTCTCAGCGAAGATTCAAATCTTGGTTTGCCATGTTATGAAAAACTAGTCCCCTGTTGGTTGTGTTCTTTTGGTTTTGTGGGAGCACTAAATGCACTAGGAAATTTTAAGAAGGCAATGGTGGAGACCTAACTCTGACATCAAGTCTTCTGATACTCAAAAGATCAGAAGAGGTGCCAGGGAACATCAGATCAACGTGTCATTGGCAAATCAAAGTATGGTTTTTATTTTACATGCTGATTTCAAAGGATCAAAGAGGGAATCACAAGAATGACCAGAGGAAGTCATCAGACTTGTTTTTATAATTGAAAATTACATAAGCCAAAGTCTGATTTGATTATGGGCAGATGATACATGAAAGGACAGCGGCAAGTACATGCTTAATAATGAGAAGGATTGTGATTCAGAGCCTTCTTTATATTAATGCAGGATTGGCATCAAGTTTGCAGTTCAGATCTTAGATCATATTTTGTTCAATTAGTTTTCTAGATTTGATTATATACATACGCTTAATGGAGGAACCACTGAGATTGATTTTAATCAATGAAAGAAGGGAAGATAGCAATCAAGGGTCTCTGCATAAAATTTATATTATATAAGAATCAATTGTTGTTAAAACACATTAAAGTCAGTCTTTTATCAACAAATATCCATTCGATTTTTAACAACTCATTCAAAATTTATAACAGTTCATTCAAACTTATTTTTTATTTGAATTTTGACAATAACTGATTCTTAATTGGTAAAAATTTCATATAGAGGTCTTGAGAGCTATTTTCCCATAAAAGAATGGCTGAAACCATTGAATCACAGAGCTCGTGCGAACTGGGCCATTCCAAAAGGCAAAAATTTTGAGAATCCGAAAAAAGAAATCCCAACATTAGTGGACAAACAATAAGTTAATCTTCATATTAAACTTGAATCATCTCTTTTATCCACGTTCTATATAATTGACATATTTAAAATTAGTCAGTTCAACAGATTAATGTGCAAAGGAAAAATGAAAACATGAAAGTTAGCCATCCCATTACACAAACAACCATTAAGCATCATGAACATAGTACTTGGGAAGATGATACAAAATGTTCTATCCAAGTTCTATCTCATATGCACGCTTTCAGCCAAGCATCAGATAAATTCGAAGATTCAAAGGAGAAAAGTGAAAAGCAGAACGCAATTTCTTTCCGTTAGCCATCTTTTCTGCTCAGCAACCACACAGCCCAACAACAAATTGACATCAAATTACAACTAAGGAAAAGAAAACGAAATTGTAGATACCTCAGACTTGGACGAACAAAACGACCCACCGCCATAACTCCCAGAACGCTCCATAAAGCGAAGCTGCCATAAGCCGGCGGCGAGCTTCCGAGCGGAAAGCTGGGAATTGGGAAATCGGTGGCGGAAATTCACCGGGGAGCTGAGACCGGCGATGAAGGAGTATCTCTTCTTGTGAAGGTTGCACCGGAAAAGGAATGAATTGCGATGTTTCTGGCGATGCGGAATCGCGGAATTCCGGAAGCCGGCGGAGGAGCTCATAGCGCCATGAACAGAGAGAAGGAAAGGGAAGAGAGGAATGGGAAAGAGAGAGACACAGAAAGAAACAAAAGATTGTAATTTGGGAATGTTGGTGTCCGCTCACTGCTCAGTGCTGAGTGACAGTTACTTTGCGGATTTATCATGCATGCTTCATGCCTTCTCCATCATTTAACTCTCTTTAATATATACCTTTCACGAGAATCTGTATAAGTTGCAAAAATGTCGTACAATTTTTCTACGGCTGATATCTTATAGACATCTAGAAATAAAGCTATATCTTTTTTCCAGCTAAAAATAACGCTATATATATATATAGTTACATCCAAATTAAGTCGTTTTATCATACTCTTTCCTCCTCAAATTATAAGAAGTATTTCATTAGTTTAAAATACAAGATAATTTAATAAAACTAAGTTTCTTTAATAATATTTTTGTAATATTACTTTTCAAGTAAAAAAATTAAGATAATTGTAAATTTGAAATTATATTAAATTAACGTCATTTGCAGAAATTTATATTTAAAAAAATAAGTTTGTAAAGTATTATTATTAAATTTTATTAATTTATATAATTTTATCTCAAACTATCTTATGATTTAGAATAAAAAAAAGTATTATATCCAAGCATGAAATTTGTCACTACTCATGTCCCACCCTGTAAGATGCATATCCTATCTCGTTGATGGTATCGTCCCATTTGAAATTGAGACAGACTGGAAATTCTTGGTAAAAGAAAGAGGATTGAATTGTAAGAGGCAGAAAAGTAAGAATTAATCAATTAATCTTTTTAAGAATGTTCATATATTCAAATTCTAAATAACCAAGCACACTTATTCACTTTTTTTCAATAAAATTCTATATATTTTTCTGAAATAAAAATCCATTTATTTTAAAGTATCATTATTCAATAATCTCCTCAAGATATAAATAATGAAAATTTTTGTAAATTTAGCATAAAATATATTATCTTTTAAACTCAAAAATTAATATATTACCTTAAATCACAAGTTCAAATAAACTTGACAGAGAACTAATAGCAAACTTGAATTTTATAAGAGAGCAAGGTTGCTAAACTCATAATAAAAATGTAAACTTATATTTTAAACTCGTAAGAATTTATTTCTATTAACAAATAACCATTAAAATATGATTAGAATTTAATTTAAATATATTAAAAATATAAATTGTCAAAATTAAACTCATATACATTGATAAATTATCATGTATAAGACATAAAAATTAAAAAATGGGAGAACTTATTTTTAGTATTTTTATTTTTTTTTATTAATATTAATTTTTGCATTTCAAGTTTTTTTCTTTGAACCAGGTCTTATAAGTTTTATAAATTAAATTTTTTATAGTATATATTTAACTCGCTCAATTCAAAAAAAAAATTTACGAACTTAATAAGTTTAACCAAGCTTGCATCTAATCCGAGTTTATAAATTAATTAACATAATTTTATAACTTACAAACATAAAAACGATAAACTTGAAAGTAAACTCATGAATTTATCTGAATTTATATCTACTTTGAATTTATGAGTGAGTTGACACGATATTGTAAGTTAAAAATATTAAACTCATAAAATCAATTTGAAAGTTTGACAATTATAAAAGGGAGAATAAAACTAACATAACCACACTAGACAAAAACAAAAACATAACTTATTATACTCACTCTTTGGGAAAAAATATAGATGTTATTTTTTTTTCTCAGTATTATCCTATTTTAATTACATCAAGTCGTAATTCCTAAACACATTTCATTGTGGAGAGAGGAAAAAAAAAACTCCCTCCATCTTCAATTATAGGGTACTTTTAAAGAATTTTTTTATTTTAAAATATAAGATACTTTGTGTAAATTAAAGTTTTATTAAATGCATCAATTCTAATATTATTCTTTTTCTCTTTATTAATTTCCTTCCCTTCTCTTTTCAATATATTAAACGATAGATATTTTTTAAATTTTAAATTTTTATTTTAAAAAGATAAGGTTGTTAAGTATATTTAATGAGATTTATTGATATGTAAGATTTTATTTAAAAGTATATTATAATTTAAAACGGAGGGAGTAGTAGTTAATTTTTTCCTCAATACTGTCCTCCTTAATTACACCAAGTTATATAATTATTAGACATATTCATATTTTATTATGATAATTAATTTTAGTGAAAGACAAAGTTGAAATGTCAAACATTTTTTGAAAATTTAAAGATATTAATTATCATTATTTAGGAACTATAAAGCTGGTTAACTTTACTGATTTACTCTATAAATAGGGGTGGAAGGAGAATTCAAAACTTCAAAAATCAAGAGGCAAAATTTAAATAAGTTATATAAAATGTAATGGCAATTGAGTTTTTGGTTACCAAGATATTTTGTAGAAAGTTTCAATTTTTGGAGAAACATTTCTCAATTTACAATTAAGCCTCCACAGTTTATTACTTAGTTGCAACTAATCTTGTACGATTTCTAACCGAGTTCTCGATATTATTACTGAGCTTCCGTGATTCGTAATTGAGCCATGTTGCTCATTGAATAAGGACTTTTTCGTCCATTGACTTATCTTCAACATGGGTCCTCTTTAATTGTTTCACAATTGGCCCTCTAATGTCTTTCACTCTCAGTGGTCCTTCTTTCTAATTTTTCCAGATTTTAATGAATCCGAATATCAAATTGGTGAACAAAACAAGTACCACCCTGCAAACTGTGCAACATGAATCATAATTGATTTAAATAAATAATAATAATAATTCAACAATAATTTAACAAAGTATGTATTTATATTCAACCCTACCAGGCTAACTATATGATCTATTGGGATCTCTTGGAATATGTTATATCATTGCATTAGATATTATATACTTTTTTTTTTTTGGGCCAAAGCATTAGATATTATATATCTACTCCCTCCTATTTCTTATTCTACATATTCTCTTTATTCAAAAATGGAAAATATTTTTAATTAAATTAGATTTATACCTCATACAGGCGTGATAATGTTTTAGTTTTAAAAATAAAAAAATAAATATTAAAAAATTATTTTAGTATCTTTAAAATAAAATATATTGCTTTCTCTTCTATTTTAAGAGTCACAAAATACAAACATATCTTTTATTTTTAAGTTTTTATTTTCATTCATTTAATCATTATTTGACAGTTGTTGCACTAAAATACAATTCTTGATATATTGTTTTAAATTTTTATTCATATTTTAAATTTATTAGTTATGCAAATTGATTTATTTAGTATTTTTTAAAAAAATTGAAATACACACTCCCCCTTTAAAAAAAATTAAGGAAATTTTAACCAAATCTTATATTTCAATAAAATAATTACTTATTTTTAAACTAATACAATCTTTCTATATTTATTTATGTTTAATAGGATGTTTCACTTTAAAATAATATAAAGTAATTTATTCGTTAGGGATAGTTTAAAAAAAAAAGATAATGATTACATCTTAAAATGTTAAAAATATTTTATATTTTTTAGTATTCAATCCTTCAAAAAATACTTTATATTTTTTAACAGAAGGAGTAAATTTGTTAAAATAATCAAACACATATGTAAAAAAAAACTTAATGAAATAAGAGATAAATTAGTTAATATAATTTATGTTTATATTCATTTAAATTTTATAATTTTCTTAAAGTATTTTTAAATGATTGTCATACTTAATTGTTTAGAGTTGTTGTTGGAAAAAAATTATTTGAAGTTCCTCAAATTATAAAGTGAGATGATAGATAAATAGATTATAGAGGTTAATAGTTTAAAAATTTTCAATATAAATATAAATAATAAATTAAATATTTTATAGTATTTAACATAATATTCTTAACAATGTTAAAAATAAAACTAAAGTGTAAGTTTTAAAAATGAAAAAAAGTACTATAATGTTATAATTTATGTCAAAATAAAGTGTAAGTTTAAAAAAAAGTACTATAATGAATCAAACAATAATTTATGTCATAATATTATTTTTAAATCATAACTATAATTGTTGCAAATTAAGCAAATAGTATAATCCAAGTTAAAATACCAATTATTAATCATATGTACGAGAGTATTATATCAATTAATAAAACATTACAAGTAATACAATTACTTTTAACAAAATATTAGGTATATAGTGTAAGATAAATTCATTAACATTATATAATTAACTTGAGGCTCATAATTTTTTTTTTACTTAGACTTGAAGCACATAATTACATTAATGTTTTTCATAGGTTTTCACATCATAATTTGCTTTTACATATAAATAATAGAATAATAAATTTTATACCTTATGCATTTAAAGAATATGAACAAAAACTTGTTTTATATATTCTCATGCAAATTATTTTATGATTTGTTGCCATGTGTTGATAATAAATATGTAATAAATTATTTTTATGTAAACTGTATTATTATCCTCGTATAATTTTTATTGCATATCTAACACCTATTATTTTTACTGAGAATCTTATATTCACTTTTAAATTTTATTATGGATCCTACAAGATCTTTTAAAATATAAAAAATTTATTTTTACATTTTGTTTGGATTTTAAAATTTACAAATGTAGATTCTACATTCACATTTTTCAATGATAGATCCCCCATCCACTTTTTTACCATAAGTCCTGTAACTATACATATACATATATATATATATATATATATATTATTTTTTTAACAAAATCATCCGTTAACTCATTTTTTTAAAAATTAAATTTTTTAAATTAATTACTAATTTAAATTTACTAATTGAATTATAGGTCCTACACTCATTTTTTTGCCATTAGTAATTTCTTTGTATATCTAATATCTATTATTTTTACTAAGAATTATATATTCATCATTAATTTTTACTAACCTTACATGATCTTTTAAAATATAAAAATCTTATTATTTTTAATATCTTGTCTAAATTTTTAAAATTTACAAATGTAGATGCCATACTCACAATTTTTAATAGCAAGCCTAGCACATACTTTTTTTATTATGGGTTTCACAACTATATTTTTTTAACAAAATTATTCATTAATTAATTTTTAAAAAAATAAAAAAAGAGAGGGAAAATCACTGTTCTAAGCAATGTAGATCTGCAGTTCTTTGAGTTGCTTTACAATATATATTAATGATTAAATTATTT